TTAGATAGGGGTTAGATAGGGGTTATATTGGGGTTAGATAGGGGTTACATTGGGGTTAGATAGGGGGTAGATAGGGGTTAGATTAGTGTTATATTGGGGCGATATGCGGGTTAGATTGGGGTTATATTAGGGTTATACGGATAATGGAAAAGAACATGGAAACTACCATTTCCGGTCTAGGGTTTAGTGACAACACTTTCAAGGAAGTACAGGGGGGAGGGTCAAAGCATGGCCGCTTTTTGGGCACCCTAAATATTATGGGCAGTATTCTATTGTAAGGGCCCAAAGAGGACGCATAGTCTTGACAACCCACCACCATGCGAAGATCTCTCTAAATTCTGAAGACTTTTCCGGGGAGGCCTGATATTGAGATAAGACACTTTGAGGCCAGAAAGGCTGTCTGCCTCCTTTCCGAAAACTCCCACAAGGGACGCGGCTTAGGGTTTAGGGTATCAGCAACAGAATGTGCATAGTTTTCGGATACTCTTCAACAAACTGGAGCCAATGACGCCTTGGGATCAACAAGACAGCCTCAAAATGTGGGGAGTCCTCTTCCCACGAACCGAAGAAGGACTTCTATCTTGAAAACTCCACTGAGGACGTGGCATCCGAGGGCAAACGGATAGGTGAAGAATGGCTTTCATGTCTCACATGGCTGCGGTTGCACAAGACAAGACCAGCAAGAGGGTTCAGCAACTACTTGGAGGCCCATGGGACTTAGTAACTACTTATAACTGGGCTTATAACCCTACTTATAATCCGCCTAAATGGGCTGATAGGGGTTACCCAAGTATAAATATGGCTTCAATCCCAGTCATAAGTAGTTACTAAGTTTCATGGGCCTCGAAGCAGGTCCCCAAGTTCTTCGTGGCTACAGACTACTGACTAGTGTATGCCTCCCTTGCTTACCTGTCTGTGTTCTTCTGCACCAATGAAACTCCATCCCTGGGACGGAGACTTACTGGGGGTTAGGAGGGAGTAAGGGAATATACTACATGGGGACTATATAGGTGTTGATTCTTTAGGGGTTATATGCCCTTGTTCTCCTACCAACCCCCGTAAGGAGCCTGTATGATCCCCAAATCTTATTTATCCCTCCCAACCCCCGGTAAGGACCCCATGTGATCCCCAAATACTTTACTCCCTCATTCCCTGCCACCCCCCAGCAATAAAGGGACTTTAATGGGAACCCCAAACAGGGAACCCCAAGACGATAGTAGGAATATAACAGAATGTAAGGACCCTGGCAGGTACACTCCTATCATATTCCTACTATATTCTTGGGGTTCCGTGTTTGGGGTTCCCATTAAAGTCCCTATAAGTCAGGAAAGCATGGCAGCCGCGCAGAGGACCAAGTCGTAGCCTCAGCTGGCACATGCGGAGCTCTTGAAATCTGGCCGCCCAGGTAAGCCAGATGTCTACCTCTCCGGAAAAAAAAAAAAAGTAGTTTCCAACAATGGGGGCCCCAATACAGACCCCAATATACTGTACTCCTTAATTACTATGGAGTTTTGGGACCCATAACTTTTGGGAACCCCATATGAGCAAGTCACATGTCTCATCAGCAGCGGCAGAGGTGTCCGACATGTGCTGCATCAAGTCCAGGCTCTTCCTTGCAGCGGGAAGCCAGATGAGCTATCGTCTAAACTCCCAGTTTCCCCCCTTAATAACCCCTACAATACTCCCCCAACATAATTCCCTATATAACCCCCTTTGCGGTCGGCAAAACTGAAGCTACTGTTGTTACTTTGACTACTATTTTCAGTATTCGGAATACTTTCATGAACCCCAAAACCTAAACCCTAAACCTCTTTTTCCAAAAGGCAAGCCTGATGAGGCCAGCCCGGGCATAGCCACGTAGTACCGGCCTGGCTCACAGGGCGGATTCACAGCTCAGATGAATCTTTAGGATTGTGAGTATCTTTATTATTACGCTTAACCTTCCCACTATCATTCTTACTACTTACTGTTCCTTAGTACTCTTATCATCATTATTATGACTATTATTTTGCTGGTACTTGCTGGCCTGTAAGAGTCGGCATTGGGTCGAAGAGCCTCTCCAACAAGACATCAACAAGAAGTTAAAATGGACTTTAGGGCAGTGACATGAGAAAGCGCCAAGATCAGAAAATCTCTTTTACTGCTTCAGAGTAGAAGCCACTAGGTTGGCCCCAGAAACCCATTGAAAAATATTAGTATATAGGGTCCCTTATTAAAGCCATTAGGGAAAATATTTAATATCCTAGGGGCCTACCCAGGCCAATAGTCCCAGAGCCGTGCCTTGCAAAGCATGTGCTGCAAACACCTGCAGGCGACACGTCTGTGGATCTTGCTACAGCATGGCCTCCATGAATTGGGGGTGTCCCGGAATCAAACATCTAATCCCAGTCTCCATTGCATGTCCCATGTTCTTCTCCATTTGATTTTCCATTCTTGGGCTCAATTATCCCAAAACCACAGATAGTACCTACAGCAACCCTGTATAGAAGCTTCAATATGAGCTATAGTCTGAACTCCTAGTTTCCCCCTAAATAACCTCTATAGTAGTCCCCTATATAATCCCTTATATAACCCCCCTTTAGGGAGTTTAGGCTACAATTCATATCTGGATGTCTGCTGCGCCTCCAGGCAGCATCGGCGCGTCTTGCAGGCAAAGTCCATTCGGTGATGCGGCCCTGGCCGGGAAATGGCAAAGCGAAGCCATGGCGCTTCTTGTTCTGCTTCAACTGGTTTGGGGTTTAGAGTTTAGGGGAACTGAATTCAAGTTAATATATTGGGGACATCCTGTTATTTACTATGTATACCAATTACTAGCAAATTAGTTTAAGTTCCTGAGCAGCAACCCAGTCAACTACCCCTTGCAGAGCTGACTTTCACATCTTTCCTTGTTCAGCAGTCCTTACGCTTCTGCACATAACTCTTTCGGGTCCAGTCAGCGGTCTAGTTCATTATATGAGCTGTAGTCTAAACTCCTAGTATCCCCCTTAATAACCCCTATAGTAGTCCCCTATATAATCCCCTATATAAGCCTCTTTAAGGAGTTTAGACCATGGCTCATATAGACGGCTGGCCTTGTCTGGACGCGTATGCGCTTCCAGGACCTGGATTCACAGGCAGGAGTGACACCCTCAAGTGCCTTCACGCCGTTTGCCTACCCTAAACCCTAAATTCCCAAACTCTAAACCCTAAACC